CGACGGTTTTTTTGAAAAACGCAAGAAACTACTATACATACCTACATATTTCAGTAGCTACTGGATTTTGCTTCTCAGCTGAATTATTATCAAAAATGTATCCGCCATATTAGATACGCCATTTTGAATTTTAAAAATATATGATCATGTTCGTAATCAGCGACCTCTGAAAAACTCTCATGTAACAAATTTCAAGTGAATCCAATCATTTTTCAGAGCTGTGTCCGACATATTGAATATAAAAAAAATGCCACTCATCATTTAAAAGGCAACATTTTAATCGAATTTTCAAGAACATAACCGTTTTTTTTTATCTGAATCAATTTTGGAGGGAGGGGTCCTGAAAATAGAAAAGTGAAAAGGCTTTAAAGACCACCAGCATGCTTATCAGAAAAGGATGTAGGTATGATATGGAGTGAAACGAGACGGTAATTGCTGGTCACAGAAATCTGAATATTTTCAATGATCCATCACTTTTGCTTAGGCGATTCTGCAATGTAGAGTTCCCTGAGGCTGATTGCTGGCTTAATCCCAATAAAGAGCCATGGTTACATATTGTCGAATCTTTATTTATGGCTCCAAAACTAACACTGAGTCGCTATCTGGATTCAATATCTGAGATAAATGGTGATAAGCTTCACTTTTCTTTTGTGGATTATTCTTCGATTTTCTAAGCCTTGGTAGTTGTCTATATTCAAGGTCATGATGGAAATAAGTGGAGAGGTAGGTAGGTTTACGTAACTGACTGTGATTGGTCATACATGACAACCCCAGTTGCCTTTCTTGCCTTAAAGAGGATAATACGACGGAAAATTGTTCCGTCTTTGCAAGCCATAGGTATGAGACTTCTGGCAGTGATGTGTTGACACGCGAGCCAAATTTGCTAGCTTTAAGGAAACCGTTATGAGATTTAATGGTCTCTCCTCTTCAGCTCAGCACTGCCGTTTTAGTTTTTTTAAGATAATGTGAATCAACTGCGTAGCTTCCTATGAATCTAGTCAGAGATCATGGTAGTCACCTAAGATTCTCGAGGAAACGTCTGCTAATATTTTTCGTTTTTATCATAAAATACCATCTTCAAAAAACGTTTCTAATAAAACTGTTTCTTTTCCACAACTCCAACAAATTAGTGTAAACAAATGTACGAATCCAAACACAGATGGACAGCATCTTTGGCAATTCGTTCTTTTAATTGCATACAAACATGGATACAAATATTCTCAATGTGTTTATTTTTCCAATAGCTATGGCTGACTCCTATTTGTCTATATTTCAACTAGCCTCCTACCAATGAGATCGTTTAAAGATCTATGAGTAAAAAAAACTGCTACTGCATATGTACAATAAAGTATACATTTGTAAGTATGTATGTATGTACGAGTATGTAGGCTCCACCCACAATGCTCTAAAAATAGTCCTTTGATCGCTTCTTTACCACTCAATTGCGTAGATGAGCGTAAATACTAAGTTATTCTAAGATCTTATACCAGAAACGCATAGTATACGGTTCGTTACGGTCGATTGCCACACCTACGGAATAATTAGTTTTATGTTTGTGTATATAGCGGTTGTGATCTATGAAAATCTGTGATAACATTGGACGTTGATAAACAAGGAAATACTTATAAAAATTAAATGCTGACTGCGAATGTGTTATAACATAATATAACTCCCGTACAAATATAAATTTGTTACTTAACTGTACCTTTTATAAGCACTATAATTAAACTGTTTACAGTAAAAGTGCACAAAAGTGAATTCCATTAAAGTGCAAAAATGCCAAGGAGAAAGAGAGCTTCCAGTCCATTTGATCCATTCGACGATGACTTCGACGAGGATGCCAGCTCCCAAAGTATGTTATATGTTTACTCCGCTTCAACCATGTAACATTAAGCGGTACTTCCATTAAAATTTACATATAAATTCTTGCAACTACTGTAGTTCATTAAAAGAAAACAATTAAAAAAACAACTTAGTTATACGTCGTATACATCCTTGGTAACAGAGAACTGCAACAAGCAGCTTGAAAAGTAGCTACTTATAATTGTGCGTATTGTTACCCTTGATCGACAGTATGTAGAGTTTTTGCCGGCTTTAATTATGTTAATTCATTTGCTTTTAAGCAATCTTAGGCTTGATTTCTTTCGATCCAGTTCGAAACAGACTTGGCTTTAAAAAATAAATGAATTAGCTTTGGTCGTTCTCTGCTTTGTAGTGATGTTCCAATTACCGGTCGTCCGCTGATCAAAGCGGTTTCAAAGGTTTTGAAAAAATAAATAAACTTTTCTCGCTGAAATATACATAGATCCACTGTGATGAAGTGTGGATAAATAACGCTGATCTCACCTAAAACTACCTTGTACTTTGCAAATATTTCCCAATAGACTTGATTAGCCAAATAAATTTTTTTTTTTTCTAAATCAGCGCCGACCAGGGGGAGCTTTTTATCCTAGCCACATGCATATCAAATCTACGCACAACAATGGCAAAAGAGGTGTAGAAATGCTTCCTCCTCTCACTCTTCTGGTCAGCATCTTCCGCGATCCTGGATTACTACATCTAGTCGATGGGCGTCGATCGCGTTGGCTACAATCCTTGTAATGATTGCTTAGCTTTAGCAGGAGAGCCTTGGAGCTAAATGTTGTCGTCGAATTGGTTATGTTTTGAATGTGACCTAATCGTTCAAGGTTTTATTCGCTAATTTCCCTAAAAAAAAATTGGTTATAAAGAGTTTGTAGAAAACCGAGTTTCGAGTTATTGGAAAATTTGCAATTTGAAAAAAAAACGTTCCCGGTTTTCAAGTTAATAAAATACCGGAAACCCCGGTTTGATTTTACATATAGAGAATATACTAACTGTTGGTCAGAAATTATGACCAATGTTACAATTATTAATTTAGAAATCAATTAGACAAAATAAGTTCAAAGTATTTAAGATTACAAGTAAAACCGAAAAAATTGGTGAAAAATGGGGTCGGTAACCCTAATCTTAACAAGATTAAATCGCTAAAAAACAGTCCTTGTATAGAGAAAATCGAGCATGTAGAACCGACTAAGTATCTTGAGTATGAGAATACACCACCCGCTAAACCAGGCCGACTATACAAATATAGTATTATAGACTGACCATTCATCGATTATCAATCAACACATTCGTCAACTCTAACCCCTTAAATTCCATTAGCAGAGACACAACTCCATTCTCAATATTGTAGCAGGTTAAGCTGTTCAGCCCAATTTGAATAAGATGCCCGGGCGACACTAACCACCTCTGTATATGCCCCATCACTGAATCAGCTCATCTAACATCTCTCTCTCTCTCTACGGCTCAAACACGCCGGAGCTAGCCTTTTCCTGAGTCTGCCTTAACACCCAGCTTACGTGATTCAACTTTATACTTGAAAGCAACTCTTGTTTATCCTCTTTTGTGTTTTTTATGTGCTTTTACACTCTTCAATTTTGTTGAATTCAAGTTTTTGGCTCTTTAAACTACGAAAATGTCAAAAGCAAAGCAAGAAAGTTGAAACGACTTGAGGTACAGGCGAATGTGTTCTCTAGCCTTTTTCCTCACTGTTTTGGCTACCAAGAGTTGTAGCGTGTCGAAGCCGTCTCTAACCAGCGTCGATTTCATAGCCCTGTTTGAAAGGGTGCAGATGCCTGCTTGGCTATCTGAAAAGATAACTAGAAAAGCGCCCTTCAACCCCAAGGTTTAATTTTGCGCAGTTTAAAATTGCGACTATTTCAGCCTGAAACGCTGTGGACCATTTGCCCATGGGAATTACAAGTTTGTTGCTAGATCCGAAAATATATGCACCTGCTTTGTATTCCATCCTTAAACCGTCTGTGTACGTATCTGAGATAAAGTGCAGAGAGCCCATTTGCGAATCTTCGCGATCGGGTATTATCTTTCAAAACTTTCTGCCAAAGCAGACCTCGTTAGTCATGGAATCAGAGATTCCATATATTTCCAACCTTGGTATCCTGCCAAGGATACCTGCATGAAGCTTTTTTGTGAAGAATCCTTCGGGCCTGCTGCTTCCTAGATAAAAATTTGGCGAGGAGTCCATTACAGACCCCCTTCTTTGTTTAGATTTTTTCTATTCTCCCCGGTTTATTCAATTGTAAAAATCCGGTTTACTCGGTATTCGAAAAATCAAAAAAATATTTAACACCTGTTTGGAAAAACCAAGTCAATCACCCACGCGCAGAATTAACTAAGTAATCGTAGGTTCGCTCCCATCCTAGCGAGCTCGTCTGATACGCAGTTCCCGTTTATTTCACTATGCCCAGGAACCCCTACATTGAAGAGTTCTTGTTGCAGGGCAAGGGTCAAGTCGCAATTAAACAGCCAGAATAAAGGTTTATAGAAGAACATGAAAACCTTGGGGCACTACTGAGTCGAAGGAAAGCTACCTATGTATGTTGAGCCATCAATAAAAATTGCGATAGGGCCGGATCTCTCCTCAATTCCAATAACAAACCGACTTCGAAACAGAAAAGAGTACTGGTGTATTTTTGTTACTGGAATGTTTGTCCAGTTATGAATTGCGTTCAATTTGGTAGAGTTGCAGCTATTCTGAAACCTACCGTAAAGTTCGATAGGAAAAAGTTTTAGTTAGTGAACTATTTTGGGGCCTATCAGTATACGATCACCCCATAGAAGAGAATGAGCCCATCTACTATGCGGTTATGGCTTCCTGAAACGGTCCATCAGGTTCAGATTCTTGTTGTCGAGGATTACATCGAGGTAGTACATTTTTAACCTCGGTATAGAGTATGAGCTTCACTGCATTGAAAGAAGGTGGCTGAAAAGTTGTACCTTGTAATTCCTCGCAAAACGTTCCATTTAGATCTCGGCGGAATTAAGATGAAGTCCACTCTCCTTACACCACAGCTGCCACGACACCAAGCACACTCTATAGAAGTTCGCTTAATGTTTCGAGACGCTTATCCGATAACACCGTGCGACAAAAACAAATAAATTTCAAAACACACGAAACAGTCAATATACTTACAAAATATGGGCCAAATATAGCAAAGAAGGACTTTGAAATTTTAAAGATGTGATTATTTAAAAAAAAAAAAATTATATTTAAAAAAATTAGTGCAATGGAGAACACCAATATGGGTACCAAATGAAAGAGAAATAAAGGTTTTTGGTTTGGATGAATAGGTATTGAAAATACGCCTTTAATAAATTTTATATTTTTAAGTTAATAAAGTTATGAGGACGAAATTCGAGGAAATGGTCGTGAGTATGTTAGTTCTTTAAAATTTGGTGTTTTCAAAAATGAATATTGCAAATTTTTAATGATATTCAATGACAAATTTGTAAAGGACATTTTCCATATCCATTCGTCCTTATGCACCAAAAAGTCTAATATTTTTATATTCTACAGAATTTTGTCTATTATTTAATACAACATTTTTATTCTATATTGCACTAAATTTTTTAAATATTTTTTTGAATCAATCATATTTTTTAAATTTTAAAGTCCTTAGTTCTTTTCACAAAAAGGAGCCTTACGAATTCCGTTATCGGCCGATTCAGCCGCACTTGACTGAACGACCTGAACGGCCCTCTCTGTAGGCAATTATCTTTGCAAATTTTGACACCATTACTTTGAGAATTGTCCACAGATTTTTTTAGAGTAAGTGTATGGAGAACATTGTCGATTATGAGAATCTAGCTGTTTTCCTAGAATTTTAAGAAGAAACACTACCTCCGTTTGGTATAAAATTTTATCCCAGCATTGGCTTCATTTTTTAATATTTATTTATATATGAATTTTACTAAATATTAGTAACTCACTATTTGTTGCTTTCCACAAAAATAGGTTCCAAAAACGGAAATCCACCAGTGCAACGAAACGCTGCCAATGCAAGAGAGAGAGCGCGAATGCGTGTCTTGTCCAGTGCCTTTGGAAGACTGAAAACAAAACTGCCCAACATTCCGCCAGACACAAAATTATCCAAATTGGATACACTACGCTTAGCGACGATGTATATCAAACAATTGAAAGTGCTAGCTGAAGGTGGCGCAGCGAGTGCAGAAAATCAGGATGCATTGCAAGAGAGTGCAAGCATTTTTAGAATGCAAGGTGTTCCACAAAGCATGGTAAATATGTA